TCCTCCTAACATTACCACTGCCTCTCGCTACAATAATTGAATCAGGTTTGGCGTTTGGGGAGGAGGCTTTCTGGGTTTGTTTTTAGAGTTTAGTTTAATGGATTTATTTTACAGCAAGAGGTTTTAAGCAAATCCCACTTGAGCAGCCCTTGCCGTGGCCAGAGGGAAGGGGAGTGACGGGTGGAAGTGAAGTCTGGGCTGGGGAGGCAGCTGATGGGTGGATATCCCTGCCAAGGCAGGCAGATTCTCTGCCCTCTCCTCTCACCCCATGGCCAAGGGCAGTACTGCACTCCTGGCCCAAGATCCACAATACATATGTGAAGTTGCCTCTCCTTTTTTTTTTTTTTTTTTTTTTCCTACTGGAAACCTACTTTTTGTCAGCCTGGAGGGAAAACTGCTACTGGTATGCTGAGAATTCATTGCTGAGCTACTCGGTAGTGACTTGGCAACCCACCCTGGTGCTTGTGCCTGCGGCTGGCGGTCAGCACGGCTCTGTTGCTCAGAGGCAGCGTGGCTGCCTTCCAAGGGCTGGAGAGGCTCAGAGGCTTCCTTTCTCTCCCATAGCGATGCACACTCTCTGCGGACTCCGTGCCTTTGTTGCTATCTTGGAATTAGTTGCTGAGTGGTGCCTTGCCCTGGCCAAGACCCAGGAGAAATGATATAAGATATCCTGGAGCCTGTACTAAGTGTTCTGGTGCTGGAGTCTGTCCCTGCTCCCTACTGACAGCAAAGTCATTCTGCTCCCCAGAGGCGACTTGCAGCTTTAATTCCAAAAGCCCTTAACTTTCATCTGCAGGCCACGAGCAGCTTTCATGTCCTTCAACTATCTCTGACACCAGCCGACGAGCGTGTAGCTGTCGTCTGCTTGTGGGGCAACTCCACTGTTATCCTGAGGGTGCTACAAAGAATCCTGAAGTCAGGTAGGGCACAGGTGAAACCTCAGTGTGCATTATAACCTTACAGCACCTGAACAGGCAAGGAAGTTCCCACACACGTCACCATTAGTGGGACTAGGAGTAAACAAGACCCCTGTGATTGCAGGGAGCTGGACTTAAGACTCACATTCTCCTTTCCTGACCTGGCCCCATGTGTGCCTGATGGGAATCTCACTCATCTTTGCTACATAGCTATCCCCACTAAATGGCCACTCTTCTGCAAATCCCTCTGCGTGGATTCAGGCCAGAATCTTGCTGTATTAATTAATTGCTGCTGCTTTCATAGGGCAGACTCCCCCTTCCTCCTGTCTAGCCGTCTCCTGCTTTTGACTGTCCAGGTGTGCTCAGGTGCAGAGCTCAACTATGCCTTTGCCATGGCTTCTGATGTGGTAAACCCTCGCCTGGAAAGCTGTAGGTTCTGCTGTCCTGAAAGTTCTTCAGTGGCCGAGGTGTAACGAGCTCTTTGCCAACAGCACCACCTACAGCCAGCCACAAGGAACGGTTAGAAGAGGGCAGGGGGCAGACTGGAAAACACCAGCGTGTTTTTTACTCACAAATCGGATCCTTCTGTGTTCTGCAGCATGCTGGGGACGGAAAGCAAGCAAAGGAGAGCCTACCCAGGCTTCTGTACTGGTGTATTATCCCAGTTTGTAAATAGTTTTCAGTTACCTTCCAATATTCCTCTCTTGTTTCCCTAATGCTTCCTTGCTATCCCCAGTCGTGCTACAAAAAATATCATTGGCATTGTGACTCCAGGACAGGTTTACAAAGGGAGATCTGTCTGCCTGGGTCCTCATGATTTATGCTGTACCAGCTGAATCCTGCAGCTCCATGCATTCTGAGATACAAGGACTAAATCAAACTATTGTAGCTGGGGGAGAAGATGGGATGCTGAAGCTTCAAAAGGTCTGTAGGGGTCTTACTTTATTTCTCTTTGTGAAACAGCAGATAAAATGCCTTGCTACTGGAACTGTGAGGTAAGTTTATGTTTTGGCACAGCTCTGTCTGGGGCAGCTGTGAGTGAAATTGGACAGCAGGAGACATGCTGTCAGGTGTGGTTCCTCAAAAAAGGACAAGAGAGGACATCTCCCTTGTGGTGCAGCCACCAGCCTGCCCTCTGTGCCAGCCCACCCCAAGGGACGCTCAGCCCGGCAGCGCTGTCCTTACTGACTTCTTGTTGGTGGTCCGGACGACGCAGCAGCGCTGCTCCTTCTCCACGGAGACGCTGTAGACCTCCTTGGGGTAGGGCAGGTTACGGATCCGCCACTGGAAGCTGGTCAGGGTGTCCTTCCTCATGAAGACAGGCTACAGCAAACAAGCACCTTTAGAAAACTCGTCCAGCTTCTCTCTCCTCCCTGTCCCCTCCTTCCTTTACTACCTTGAGAGGCTCCAAATTGGAGTAACTCTTCTGTCGCAGTGGAGCATTAAGGACTGACTCAAGAAACTGCCTGAGCAGCAGTTTCCTGGAGCTAGCACTGCTCTGCCTTTACTCAGGGCGGTGCCTGCTCTGCCTGCAGGAGGCTGAAGGTGCTCGCCGAGGAGTATGGCAGCACAGTGACAGTGAAGCCAGGCCTCTTCCCCACCGGCACCCAAATACAGAGCTCTGCCTACCCAGGGGACCTGCTGGATTCAGCCTTGGCACTGCCCAAGTTTATTCAGCAGACCTGTGATTTTTTTTCAGGTATGTTGAGAGATTAAAAGACAAAAACAAACAAACAAAAACTAAAAAAGATGGTGAGATGCTATAACTTCAGCCTCTTAACCTAGTGGGATGGGAAGTTGAAACAGGCAGTGCTGCATTAAGGAGCAGCCTGCTACACACTGCCTGCCTCACTTTCTATCCACTGACTTGTCCCAGCACTGGCCTTCCTTTCAGCCCACATTTTTGGAAGCCAGAACAGCAGCTGGCCAACACAGCACTACAGTGTCTCTATTTAGAGAAGCTACAGATCTCTTAAAGACCTCAAAAGAACCTAAATCCCAGCCCCAGATTTTTGGTATGGTTTGTATAGGAACAGGTTAAGGCTGTCTCTTGAGGCTGTGAGTGATCTGCAGTCTACCAGCTACTGCTGTAAGCACGAGGCTAGGCAGTTTTAGGTGCAGTGGTGCCTGCAGACCCTTACGTACGTTGGAGCTGCTTTCCTTTATGAGCTCTGATTCCAGCGCTCCCAGGAGAGGCGAGGCTGGCTCTCCCACTTCAACCTGCCAATTGCCGGAGCCCCCCAGGGTGCTCTTCTCTCGCCATTTTCTACCTGTAGAAGGGAGAAGAAGGGTTTTCGTTAATTTGCTTTATATGAAGAACTCCAGCAAATGACTGCCAAAGCTGCCCAGCACACTGAAATGACATGACGATATGGAGATATGCCTCCTCCCTTAATTCCAATAATTTCCACTTTGGTGTAAGCGGATCATTTAGCTGGCTCACTCCTGAAGTCAGAAACCGTGCACCAAGTGCATCTCTTTCTGGCTACTTGGTGCTGAAGCCGTGGCGGGGTTGCAGCAGGTGCCCTGCCGCAGCTGTGGTTTTGGATGAGATCCATAACCAGCACGTTGCCGGTCTGAGGCTGCAGAAGCCACCAAAAAGCACGTTTCACTCTAGCACGTGCTCCACCTGGCTATGCGTGCTGGCATTTCCCTTCACACTGCTCAACTCTGTTGTGACCGGCAAGCAGTTTGGGAATAATCCTAAACTAAAGCGAGGTTTGCTTCATAAACTGACCCATATTTATGTCCCTACGAAGTCCGGTGGGAGCCACAGGCACAAATCTCTCCTGGAATATTTGGGAGCGATTTGATTCTGATGCCAGCCACGGCGAGACGCCCCGAGGCACGTCCGGGGAGCATCACTTACTCACTAACTGGCCGGTCTTCACGTCGTACTCTTCAGCCATCTCCTTGCCATCCTCAAACAGGTAGTGGATCTTCCGCTTGCCTGGGGACAAGGCTGAGGGTGAATGGGAATACGGCCATCCCTTGTCTGGGGCCCTGTCCCCTTCTATGGGGCCCTAACCCCCTGTATGGGGTCCCGTTCCCTTGTCTGGGACCATAACCTCTTGTAAAAGTGCTGTCCCCTTGTCCAAGACCCTAACCCCTTGTATGGGTCCTGTCCCCTCAACCAGGACTCTAACCCCCTGTATGGGGTCCCATCCTCTTGTATGGGGCCCTAACTGCCTATATGGGCTCCATTCCCTTGTCTGGGACCCTAACCCTTTGTATGGGTCCCATCCCCTTGTCCGGGACCCTTAAGCTCTTGTCTGGGTCCCGTCCCCTTCTCCAGGACCCTAGCCCTTTGTATGGGTCCTGTCCCCTTGTCTGGAACCCTGTCCCCTTGTATGGGGTTCTGTCCCCTCATCCAGGACCCTAACCACCTGCATGGGGTCCCTTCCCCTTGTATGGGACCTCATCCCCTTGTGTGGGACCCTAAACCCCTGGTATGGGACCCTAACCCCCTCTATGGGGTCTCATCCCTTTGTACAGGGCCTCATCCCCTTGTATGGGACCCTAAACCCCTGGTATGGGACCCTAACTACCTGTATGGGGTCCTGTCCCCTTGTCTGGGACCCTAACCCTTTACAAGGGCCCAGTCCCTTTGTCCAGTACCCTGTCCCCTTGTATGCGGCCTCATCCCCTTGTATGGGACCCTAAACCCCTTGTATGCGACCCGTGCCCTAGTATGGGACCCTAACCCCCTGTTTGGGGTCCCATCCCCTTGTATAGGACCTCAACCCCGTGTACGGAACCCAGTCCCCTTGTATGGGACCCTAACCCCCTGTATGGGATCCCATCCCCTTGTACGCGACCCTAACCCCCCGTATAGGCTCCCACTCCCGTGTATGGGACCCTAACCCCCCGCCCACACCCCGTCCCCTTGCCGGAAGCCCTATACCTCCCCCCGGGCCCTCATCCCATCCCCTCCAGCCCCGTCCCTCCTCATCCTTTTCCCCCTCAGCGCCCCACAGGCCGTTACCGTCCCTCAGCAGCGCCGTTTTGCTGGCGGCCCTCAGCCTCTCCAGCCAGCCAGGCCCCGCCATGGCGGCCGGGCCCCGTCTCCATGGCAACGCGCCCGGGCCGCCCGGAAGCACTCGCAGGCCCCGCGGCCTACCGGGGGTGGGCCCGGCCCCGGTTCCCCCTCGGCTTCCCGGGGTGTTTTTGGGGGACCAAAGGGGTCCCGGCAGGGTGAAAAGGACGAGGTTGGGCCCCCGGGGTGGGTGCTGAGGTAGCGCCGCGGTGTGGGCGGAGGGGACGGGGGGAGGGCGGCTACGGGGGCTGCTGCCCGGCTCCTACAGCTCCCGAGTTGTTTTTTGTGAGGTTGTGGGTTTGGGGTTGAGTTTGGGTGCTGAATCGGTGTCCTCATGCTGGTTTTAATAGGGCTGGAGCTTTCCTCCCGCTGCTGGTTAAGCTCCGGGTGTTGATCAGCTGCTTTGTCGCTTGCCAGTTATTTCCCTCTTAGGGACGGGCTTTAAAAGTACCCGGGACGTAAAGTTGCTTGTGTTGGATGGGAAGCAAGTCCTAAATGTTAGAACAGTCGAGCTCTTTCTATTATAAGAACGCAGTCTTGGCAGTTTCAAGGGTGTTCTTAAGAGGCTTTAACCACTTTTAAAAAGTGGTTTCTCGCTTAGGTTTTCCTGACCTTTTGGGATGAAATTCGTGTTTCCAGGTGCCTCCCTCAGGGCAAGAATTTCTGGAAAATGACAACAAAAAAATACCCAAACCAGCAAAGGCCGTGAACAAAATATGTGAGGCTTAAGTTGTGTTGATTATGTCAAACTGTTCTAAGCGACCTTCTTCTTTCTTACTGGTGTTCAGCAACTGCAGCCGAACGGGACTGGGGAGCGAGGCCCAGCCCAGCCCATGGAGCCACGGGGGATTGTCAAAGCCTTTCCCAAGAGGAAGAAAGTGAGGGGTGACTCAGGGAAAAGCATCCCTCCAAAGATTCCAAAACAAGGAACGGGGGTACCTGAGGGTAAGTCCTACATGCCCATGACATGGAATAGGATGGTGACATCCCAGCTTGCTAGCTGGAGGTGCTGTTCCCCCAAAGGTTTCTTTTAGCCCTTAAGTATGTTTTCTGTAGAGACATGGCAAGTCCTACATGAGATATGTTGCCCAGCTGGTTCAGGACATTGTTTCCCTGTTACTGAGCTCCTGCCCTTATGTGTTTCTCCAGCAGAGTGGCTGAAACCAGTCACCGCCTACGTGTTGCAAGCTGGCATCGGCCAAGCCAGGGCAGAGATCTTCCGTAAGCAGATTGTCCAGAACGGGGGTCATGTATGCGACCATCTCTCCTCGGAGGTGACGCACGTCATCGTGGCTGAAGACATGGATTGTGATCGGTCCTTTCGGCTCCTGAAATTAGCCAAGCTACCTTCGGGCTTGCAGCTAGTGAAGGCATCCTGGCTCAGTGCTTGCATTAGAGATCAGGAGCTGCTGAGTACCACTGGCTACAGGGTCTTTATCCCTCAGAGGTAGGCAAATACTATGCTGTTGTTCCTTCCTACAGTGCCTGTATCCTAAGAACACTGAAATTTGACCTCTGCTCAAAATCGCAGACCGCAACTCTTCGCCACTCCCTTGGGCATGATTCAAAGTCCTTTTTCATTGTACAGATTGTGAAATTTAGTGTCTTTGTGACTGGTTGCCATTCTGTGTCACAGCAGAACTTGGAGTAGAGCCCAGAGTGCTAATAGGAGTCCTGCTGCTTGTTGCAGGTGCTAGAGGCACCTCTTCCTAATCCATTAGTGATAGCGAGGATATTAGATGATTTTTTTAATTATTATTATTATTATTTTTAGAAATACTGAGGATTACATTCTGTTTCTTATTATTGCAGATGGAAAGTAGAGAGAGAATTGACAGCTAGGCACAAGAGGAACTAAGGAGTGGAGCAGCAGGTGTCCACAGGTTAGGATCAGAATGTTTTGGCAGAGGTTTAGCAGAAAAGTCTAAGACTGAAGTCGATAGGAGTGGAAGCTACAGGTCAGTGAGGTGGGTTGAAACTGGGGGACTGAGTCAAAGCCAGAGCAATTAGTCTGGGATCTGAGAGTAAAAATGATATGGGTTGTTTGATCCATCCCAAAACACACATAAAGATTTTCTGGGCAAACTTACTGGGGCTGAGAAGTCCTCCTCCTCCTCTACTAAGGCATCTGATCCATGCCAGGTACCTGGAAAAGGGAGAACAGCAGAAACAGCAGCAGCTATTGGGCAATGAAGAGGTCCAGCCCCCAGCAGACAAGGAAGCAGCAGAACCAAACACTAAAGCGCCAGTGGGGGATTTCTCACAGCAAGGCTTGTCCGAGGTGAGGCTTCCCACACAGGTGCTGCTCCTTGTGAACCTGTGTCCTGCTTTTCTTGGCTAAGAGCATTCCTGCAGGAGTATGATACCAGATTTTCTAAGCAAAGGGAAAGTGTTTGCATGTTTCAGTAGGTTGGTGCTGGCAGATTCAGACTGTGGATGTGGTTACTACTTCTCTTTATCCCTTTTAGGTGTTAAATGCAGAAAAAACACCCCTTAAATTCCTGTCCCCATCAGAGCATTTCCAGCTGAAGCAGCCCTGCTGCTCCAATCAGGCCAAGGCTCACTCCAGCGATCGTGTTTCCCCTGCCTCCTTTTGAGGAATATTCCCTGGCCAAGAATATCTCCCTTTCAGGAAGCTCTGATATTTCATCCCGTGTTCCTGCCTGAGCCATACTGACCCATTCTCCGCTCCTTGGCAAGCACCCTGTTCAGACACATGTGCAGTGGATCAGGTTGCCGCTTGAATGATTGTGGTGGTGTGCTTAAAATATCTGCGCTGGGTTATTGGTGGCCTCTGCTGTGAGTCAGCTTCTCCAGATCTGCCATTAGCTTCGTTTTCTTATTCTGCATTTTTGCTCAAGTTCGCTGAACTCTTTTTGGCATAGGCATCATCCAGATTTATCTCGGTTACCACAGACCTCTTAGAGCAGCAGTTGCCTTGTAATGCTGGCATCTGATGCCAAATTTGCTAACTCGGTCCCAAATCACAGGTGCTGAATTTGTTTCATAAAACCCTGAAGTTATTCCCTAACTGGCAGCCCACTGTGAGGGGTCCTTTGTTTTAGGCTTTCCCTACTCTTGAATATGTGTTTGGGGGATCTCTTCTCCCCAAGACTTACTATCTCATTTGTTATAGGGAGAGTTTGCTGCTGCTTCTTAAATGCATCACCTTTGCAGTTATCCCATCTTTGCTGTTTCTTGTAATTCTGATTGATTTAGTGGCAGTTGTTATTGACAAATCTCACACTTGCAGCAAAAAAGGGGCTTTTGTACTTCTATGGATCCTGTGGCACCTGCCCTGCTCTCTGCTCACATTTACTTTGGGTGGTCAGACAGCTGTTAAAGTCTGTTTGAAGCCTTACTGCCTTTTTTTTTTTTTCCTTTTAAATCCCCTCAAGCAATGATACTTCCTGTTAGTCTGTGCACAAAAACGGCATTTGTAGGCACCTGAGCAAATTTCCTTAGCCTGAGCTTAGGACTATATGAGTGTGGGGAAGACAAGAGAACACACTGGATATGCTCTGAAGTAGCAACCACTTTTAAGGCATGACAGCGACAGAGAAGCTGAAGTTGAAATCTTTGTGTGGAAGTAGCATCCATTTTAAGCACAGCCTTTTTGAGATTGAGTGGATGTTTTTCTCCAGGCAATGAGTGTGACTGTTTTGTGCTGAATGGGGGCAGACTTCTGGGTTTGGATGTGGACTCTGCAGAAAGCCTTTCGCTAGTCAGATTGCAGCAGCTGCTTTGTGGCTGACATCTGGCTGTTGTAGATTTCTGCAAGGCAGCATTTGCAAGTGGTACCACTTACTCACTGCCTGATCCCTGGGGCTGTTGCTCCAGACTGCTTTCCTCCATCTCGAGTGCAGTGTTGCCTCAGCTGCCGGGCTTCAGCTGCTATCCTGGGACCTGTGCTGTGCTCCAGACAAACCACGGACATCACAGTCTCACCCAGCTATAGCAAATCATCTGCTGGATGATCCTGGAGGACCTTAGAAGCTCACAGAACTATTGGTTCTGCACATATAGTTGTAAAAAGTCCGTCAGCTTTTTTGGTAAAGCGCAGAGATCCTGGGGTTTAAGTGCTCTTTCACCTCTGTGACACTGCTGGCTGAGAGAGCGGGAACTGCACGCTCCAGCTGTAGAATTGTTTGCGTTGTGCTGGATAACACGCTCCTTAAATGCTTTTAAGGGGCTTACTAACCCATCTGAACACTCCAAGGCTTTGCTGCCCTTAGAGGGAACAGCGTCTTGAGGGAGTTGCATACAGAGTTTCAAGGCAAATAAAACTACTTTAGTCTATCAAATCCTCGGTCTGACCCAGTTTTCAGAGTTATAAAACAAGATTACAAAAGGGAAAGCAAACAAACATCCTCTGCCTAATGACTTCAGCTCTGTATCTTGTGTCAGCAGGCCTCCCTAGCCAGCAGAACCAAGGGTTGTAAGGATGTGGCTCTGCCTCAGCTGGGCTGGTGCTCTGCAGAAACTCAGAACAGGACTTGTGTGCAGCATGCAACCGCAGGACTGGTCCCAAACAGCTCTGTGCCTTCCTGGAATGCTTCCACAGTGCAGGAGCTCGTGGATCCCCCTGGACCCCTGTGTTTATACATCAGGAGAGAGGAGGACCCCAACGAGCAAAGCAGTCTTCAAAGTCTCTGTTCGGCTTCCCACTTCTATCCCCTTTTGTTCGTTACCTGAAGCCAGGGCTCATTGTTTCTTAAGTCCACACAGAGGCATCCTAATGCTGAGGGTATCAGCAAATGTATACATTGGTTCTTTCTTCTGTCACTGAGGAATGTGGAGTCCTTTGTGGCATTCCTTCCTCCCCCTTTTCTCTTGCAGATAGCCATGGGGAAAATGGGGGGGTTGTAATTTACTACCGTGGTAAGATTTTGTCTGTAACGTGAAAACAGAGTCCAGGGCATATCTCCTGTGATCTGCGTCGTGGGGTGGAAGGTGCAGGGTCTGAATGTGAGAGATGTGTCCGTACGGTCACCAGACCAACAAAAGGTTTCCCAGTGGGAGCAGTGAGTCAGGATCTCCCCTAGCCAGGGATTTCAGTGTTGTTATCCCATGCTGCTGGCAGCAGTTGCTCATTTAACCAGTCTCCTGTCTTAGGTCTCAGGGTCTTGGCCTTAGGAGGTGCGTGTGTGCTTGGCTCACATCTGGACAGCAGCCTCTAGTCTTGTGTGCTTTGTGAGACGTGTGTGTAGCTTCAAAGGGTGCCTGGGTAGCTTGGGACACTGAGAGCTGTGTGTGCTTACAACTAACAACTTCCTGAGATGGCAATTTGAGCGCTGCGTGCCCTGGAGGTTGGTTAGTGCTCTGACTTCCTACTCCCAGGAGCAGCCCGTGCCAAGGGGACATATGTGAGGCATACACTTATTCTTACTTGACTGCTTTTCTACCTCTCCCTAAAGAAAGTCTGTGACGATGAAGACAGTGAAGGAGAAGATGCTAGTGTCACCCAGGGGGATCTGGAAGCACTGATTTCTGGCCGCTACCCTGTGAAATTGTCGGAGGAGACCAGTGACAGCTCTTCCACGGTGGCTCAGCCTGCCAGCAAGTGGGTTTGTGCTCATTCCTCCGACAGCAAGAAGGAAAATCACAACCAGTGCATCACAGAGAAGCTGGAAGTGCTGGCAAAAGCCTATTCTGTCCAGGGGGACAAGTGGAGGGCCCTGGGCTACTCCAAAGCCATCAACGCACTCAAGAGCTACCACAAACCAGTCACGTCCTACCAGGTAAAACACCTTCCCAGGGGAGTGGAGCAGGGAGATAGACTCAGCATCCTAACTGTGTTATTTGTCAGATCCATTCCTGTATCTGTGTGGAACAGCTTATCTTCAGGCCCTGGAAATTCCTTTGTGTTATGATAGAAGTTGTGGAGTGAGTTGGATTCATTGGCCACCAGCAGAGTTTTCAGATCAGCAGAAAAGTGGAGTCTGAGCCTCTTATGGTCAGGTCTGAGCACCCATGAGATAAACGCCTTCCCTAGGCAGAAAGCAGGGATGTTTTCACCTTCCTCTTAAGCCTTAAGAACTTGCTAGCATTGGAGATAATGTATAAAATTAACTGGATCTGGGCCTGATTGCCTGATGGTGTTAATGTTTTTGTCCTGTTCTGCATGGTTGTTCATTTTCACTTGGCATTGAGAGCAGCTCACAGAACTAGTCCTGCCACTCACCAGTCACTGACCAAATGGCTAACCAGGCGCTGAGTGGTAACTGCTCCCCGCCTTGTCTGTTGCCTTCACTTTTCTATTATCATCTCTATTTTCTTGCTAGGAAGCCTGCAAAATTCCTGGGATTGGGAAGCGAATGGCAGAGAAGATCCTGGAGATCTTGGAGAGCGGGCACCTGCGGAAGCTGGATCACATCAGCGAGAGCGTGCCTGTGCTGGAGCTGTTCTCCAACATCTGGGGAGCCGGCGTCAAGACAGCTCAAATGTGGTACCAGCAGGTGAGTTTAGTGCCTCACACAAGCAATTTGAAAACTGCTTCTGAGTGGGGGAGAATTGCTTTGGGGGAGTAGAGGACAAACGTGCAATAGAAGGAGTGGGGCACACACTGTTCTGTTACCATCACTGCTTGGAGCTCACCTCACACTGCTCATTGCAGTGTCATTGTTGAGGATCAGCCTTGAGCCAGGACACCATGGCTGTCAGAGCTCCCAAACCAGTTGCTGTCCTGTTGTCCTGGCTGGCTCCTGCAGCTGCTGGCTCCTGCACCTCGTCGTTAAAATGAGGTTGAAGTAATTGTGCCAACAGGAGCAGCCCAGCTTGTAGAGTAGGTTCCTTCTTTAAGAACAGTTCCTGAGCACAGATCTAATGAAGCCTGCTTTCCTGTAGTGTTTGCTTTGTGATTGGATTCTTTGCTGTCTAAAAATGTGCTTGTGTTCACACTGTGGGCTTTCCCTTATGGGGATATTCTGTGTCTTTTTCCTTTACCTGCATCACTTTCCTTCAAGCAGTAAGAACACAGTTGTCTGAAGAACGGTACCCTTCTGTCAGGTTTGGGTAAGACTTGAAGTCTTTGTGGGGTGGAGATTAGAGGTGTGTGTGGGATTGCCTAAATCCCCTTCTCATCAGGAACCAGGCTGTAAGTGATCTCCACGTGTGATTTCAGAAGCTGTGACTAGCCTGGGCTTGAGGTGGGCTAAATACAATCTCTCCAAATCTTAGTTGAAAGCGTTTGAAGAGCGAAGGCTCAGCAGATGTTTGAATGCCATCACATCGTCTGCACTATAGGGTTTCCGGACGCTGGATGATATCCGCACGAAGGCGTCTCTCACCAGCCAGCAGGCTGTGGGACTGAAGCACTACGAGGATTTCCTGCAGCGCATGCCTCGGGAGGAAGCTGCAGAAATAGAACAGACCGTGAGTAGCTCAGTGTGGGCCCTTGGAGTGGAGGACTTGCTGGGCTCTGACAGGAGGGTGCAGGCTGTGGAAATGTCTCTCTCGTATAGCTGAGCTCTTTCAGCCTCTTCTCTCTGTGGTGTCAGTGTTTGGGTGACTGTTTTGGGGCATAGACCCACAAAGCTCCTACTTTACCCCATAGGAAAGTTGAGTTTGAGTGCCTGGCAAGGAGGAGGACACTTCCAAGCTGTCGGTTCCACACGCAGCTTTGAGAATGGCTGCATGTGGCACAATGGGATGAGCAGGTTCCCAGCTCCCCTTCCCTCTCATCTTCTCTGAGATACCTGCTTTCAGCTGGGGCCTCTGCACTGCTTCCCTGCTGCTGCCTCTCCAGAGCAAGCCGTGAGCTGCTTGTAGGTGTGAGGACAGACCATGGGGATCCTTGCTGGAAGCAAAGGGGCTCCAGCTGCAGGAGGGTGCTCCTGGCTCTCGCAGGCACTCCAGAATCATGGGGTGCTAAGCGGGTGTACCCTAATGTGAGCAGAGAGCTTGGGGCACCATCATTGCTACCCCTCTGCTCGCCGATCACCATGGCAGCAGCAGCCAGCGTGACCCTGTCACTCGGCCACAGGGCCTGGCCACGAAGAATACGCTCCTGCAGGGCTCCTGCTGGGGTGTCAGCCCCGTGTGCAGGATTAGCCCTTCTGCTGGGGAGCGCTCCTTTTCCCAGGCAGGCCGGTTTGAGGAGCTGGCTCTTGGGGGTGGGCCCATTGTTATCTTGATGGGATTACTGCGCCCCCCTCCATACGCACGCACACACCTCTGATCCAGGCCCAGGAGAGAGAATAAGGGATTAGTCACTGTCTATGCTGCCTGTCACAGGGAGATCTGAGGAGCTTTTAGGCTCTTGGGTGGGGCCGGGAGTTTTCTAGAAATCTTCATTTAAAGCCAGAAGGGGGGCAAGGACACCAGAGGAGGGCTTGCTCCGCATGAGAAAGGCTTGTGGCTTCTTGAAGCACCTCTGGGGCAAAGGTTAATGGGTTTATCTCTTGCTAATGAAGGATGATCCCCAAGAGTGACAAGGGGCTGTGGGCACGGACACTGCCTTCCTGAACCCCAGCCCCTCTGATGGCCTCGTCACTGGGAATTGCTGAGCCCCTAATTATTTGCTGCCAACAGGGTGATTGGCACAGTCAGACCGAGAATCCTTCACTCCTGTCCAAGGACCCGAGAGCCTTGCTTAAGCATTTAATGAATGAAGCCATCAGAAGTGGCACTGTCTGCACAGAACGGAGCTGGGGTCCAGCCTGGAGGTGGCTATGATAGGGAAAGCTCTGATTCTGTGCGGATGATCACTGGCTGCAGCGTTGTTATCAATTCTGTCAACAATTCTGGGACATTTGTGGTTTTTCCTGGGTCAGGAAGCCCAGCTCTGCTGCAGAGGCAGAGCTCTAGTCTGGAGCAGACTCCAAGGGGTGCTCACAGGTTCTCTGCTCTCTTGGAGGAGTCTCCCTGATCCCACCTCTGCTTCTGAAGCAGGACCTGTGATGACCTTGCCTTGAGCTGATACTCTTTGTGGTTAGAACCAGTGAGCTTTGCCCTCCTGGCCCACAGGAGAGCCGAAAGCCCTCTGCTCTCCTCCTTTCCTAGAAACTGAAGGCTCCAACAGGTTGTACCCTGTGCTGCCTCCTCAGTGCTGCTGCACCTTCCAGCTTGTCCCAACCCACTTCCAGCTCAGTCCCCACAAAATCTGATGCCTGATGGCCAACTTTGTGCTGTGTGGCAGAGAGGGCATGAAGGGAATGGTTTCTGACTCGTCTCCCCTCTTTCTGTTCCTGAAGGTCAGACAAGCAGCCTTGGCCCTGAAGCCCGGACTCCTGTGCGTGGCGTGTGGCTCCTACCGCCGGGGGAAGCCCACCTGCGGAGACGTGGACGTGCTGGTCACTCACCCCGACGGGCAGTCTCACCGCGGGGTGTTCACCAAGCTGCTCGACAGCCTCCGCAGGAGCGGTAAGAGGGCTGGGGGCTGGCATGTGCTGCTCGAAGCTGTTCCATCACGGCCAAGCTGAGGAGGGAGGGAGGTCTGAGCTAGATGTGAAGGGCAGGCGATTGCTTTTCCCAATGGCAGGACAGCTTGTAAGCTCAGAGTAGCACCTCCAGCTGGTGCTAAGGAGGGAGTTTGTGCAGTTCTGTCTGCGTGAGGCTGTCAGGGCTGAGGCTGTGTTGTCCTCTCAGCTGCTGCCTGGGCAGCTCAGGATGAGGACATCAGTCTCTGCCACTCAGCTCCTCTCTGCCACTCAGCTCCTCTCTGCCACTCAGCTCCTCTCTGCCTGTTCCCTTTCCCCAGGCTTCCTTACAGACGACCTAGTGAGCCAGGAGGACAACGGTGAGCAGAAGAAGTACCTGGGGGTCTGCCGGCTCCCCGGGCCGGCCCGGCGTCACCGCCGTCTGGACATCATCGTGGTGCCTTACGGCGAGTTCGCCTGCGCCCTGCTCTACTTCACTGGCTCGGCTCACTTCAACCGCTCCATGCGCGCCCTGGCCAAGACCAAGGGCATGAGCCTCTCGGAGCACGCCCTCAGCTCGGCTGTGGTGCGAGGTCCTGGTGGTGTCAAGGTGTTACCTGGCCATATTCTGCCCACCCCCACCGAGAGAGATGTCTTCATCCAGCTGGGACTACCCTACCGGGAGCCCTCCGAGCGGGATTGGTGACACCCTGCTGGTGACACCCGGCGCTCTGAGCCCACTGCCGTGCTGCTGGTTTGCAGGGTGCTGGTTTCCTCGGTGCTCTGACTGCAAGCTGGGGAAAATAAACCAGCAAACGGGGCCCGGCTGCTGCTAGCAGAGCTTTGTGGCTTCACCCAGCAGAGGGCGTGGGCTGGAACCAGGCTGGAAATGCTGCCTGGTGCCATCCCGCGCCCCTCAGCTACCCTGGCCGCTGGACCAGGCCCCCTCCCCTGCTCACTGCTGCTAGGAGCTGCTGCTGTAGGTATGATGAAGGTCCCGCTGTGCTGGTGCTGTGCCCTCCCTCCATCAGACCTGATTTTTGTCATCTGGCAGGTCTCGATGCTCGGGTTTGGGCTGCTGCAAGTGCCACCAGCTTCCCCTGGTGCCCAGTAACCCGTGGTGAATCACAGGGACTCAAAATGCTGCGTGTGCTTGCTCTCAGCCCATCGTGTGCTGAGCATCTGCCAGTGCAGAGAGCTGTGATCCCCCTGCTCCGGGCACAAGGGCTCCTTTCCTCACCGTGCAGGGGAGGAATGAACCTTGGGGTTCAGAGGAGCCGTGCTCAGGCAGGGTTTGAATGTAACGGCACTGAATGTAAGCTGGCAGGGCCCTGTGTTTGCTGCACACAGGGCGTGGAAGCAGAGAGAAACACAAGATAGTTGTGGTAATTTGGGCAAAGCAAAGCTTTCCCCTTTTGTGTGCGTGGTGGCCAGGAAGTCATCTGAGCTTTGTGTGTGTGTGTGTGTGTGTGTGTAAACGGGTGCTCACCCTTTCACGTCCAAAGGAGTGAATTTTATTTCTCAGGACACCTCAGCTGTTTTTGTATTCTGGAGATGAATTTTGCAGGGGCTTTCGGTGCTCTGCAGCACCGGCTGCTGGGAAGGCCGGGCTGGGGGTCCCTGTGCCAGGCCCGCCAGGCTCTGCCTTGTCTTGTTGGGGTCCTGCTCACTGCACTTTGCTGTGTCACTGTCACACGTGGCCATGAGCTGCGTGTTTCTGCTGGGGCAGGCACAAGGGCGTCAAACCTGGCAGTTTGCACAGGGTCTTGCTCTGGTGGCTGTGGTCAGCCCAGCAGCTCTACACAACACTTGGTGGGAACCAGTGTCACCTGGCTTGTCACGGTGCTTCAGAATTTGAAGTATAATAAATCCCTTCTCTCCTTTTCCTTGACACTTTGTCTTTTTGCTCCCTGCCTTGCAGCTGAGCTGCTCGCCTCCAGCCCTGGGTGCCTCTGTCCCTGGCCGTGCTGGGGCTGCCCCTCACCACGTCACTTGCTGGGGACATCACCGAAGGTGGAGGAGACGCAGAGCTGCTGGTCCCCAGCTCTTTCCCCCTTGCTCCTTCCCTGTAGGGCCATGGTTCACACTGTGGTGCCAAATGGGTGCTGCAGCAGCACATCAAAGCCCCGGCCTGGCTCTTTGTGCTGCTTTTAAAAAAGGGGAGGCTGGACACGGGGAATTGGGGCTGCTCAGGAATGGGACTGTTCACCACGTCCCTTGGGAAACGCAACCTTGGGACATGGCACCCCCTGTCCCTGCACCCGGCCCTGCCCTGGGTGCCCCCAACGAGGGCACAGACAATTCCTGTCCCCCCATCAGCTGCTTCTGTCCCCTCCTGCTAAAAGGAAGAAAAACCTGGGGCCGAATTGCTGCGGTGCTGAGCATTAGGCAGCTCTTCCAGCCCGCTGCCTGCCCCATGGGGAGGACACCCGTCCTCAGATGTCTTTCTCATCCTGCTACGGGGCTGGGAAGGGGCTGGGGCTGGTGGAGAGGGGTGCAAAGGGGACGTTTGGGTTTTTAAGGGTGGCACTTCATATTCATGAGTAAATATTTGCTAATGGCAGCACAGCCGGGCAAATGTAACGGAGCTGCTCCCCCCGCCAGAGCAAGCAGGGAAATGAATATGAATTTATCATGATTAGGTGAACCCAGCAGGGAGAGCAGGAGAGAGAGAGGGCTAGGCAGGGAGGGGGCGGGCGAAGATGGATCTGTGCAATAAAATTAAATAAGGACACCAAATAGAGCCACTTCTCACGCGCCCGCCCGCCCGCGTGCTGGGCCTCTCCCGCCCTCCCTCGCTCCTCCGGCTTTGCTGATTTCTCTCTTTCCTCAAATTTATGAGGCCAATTATGAAGATGAGGTTGGAAGTTCTCAGAAGTTCACTAAATGCAAAGTGCGGTCCCTGCTGTTCCCATCAAATTAATTAACCAAGCGCTATTGATGGCCGGGCGACGGCGGTGCGGCACGGAGAGCGAGGGGAGGGCTGCAGGGGGAGCTGCCGGGGGGGGGGCACAGAGCCCTGCAGGGTGTCCCTGGGGGGGATTCCTCCCATCCCACTGATCAGTGGGCTCTCATCGGGCTGGAAACCAGCACAAACAGAGGCATTTCCCGAGCTGCTGACTCCCCAACAGGGCCAGAAGTCAGGCTCCCCATCACCACGGGGAACGGGGGGCTCCTGCTCCGGCAGCGCCGATGTTTTCCCCTCTCGAGGGGTGTGTGTGTGACCTGGGGACGATTCACCTGCTTGTGTCGAGTTTTTAGAAGAATTGGACGGGCAGCTCTGCAGCTCCTGCCACTCGCAGCCTTCCTGGGCGGATACGTGGATCTATATGGAGGAAAAAAAAAATCACCGATGTGGAAAGGAGCAGCTTGCAGACACCCGGCCCGTGGAAATGGGGTCCCTGCAAGGGCTGCCTGGTGGCTGAGCTGGTGCTGAGCTCTCTGAGGTCTTCTCTGAGGTCTTCTCCAGGGTCCTTGGGGTCTGCAGCCAGCCCCCAGCCCCGTGCAAATGGTTTGGGTTCATGCGTAAAGCTTGGAGGGTGGCGTGAGATGGAGATGGGCAGAGCACCTGTGCCCTGCTCCATGTTTCTTTAGGAAATCAGGTCCCAAAAAAATAGGGAAAGGAGGATGTGAGGTTGCAGGCGGCTTGGATAAAACCTTAGTGGAAACCAACCGGCCCCCCCCTGGTGCCGAGCAGCCCCGGCGGTGGTGCTGGTGCCCGTCCTCGCCGCCGAGACGGCAGCAGAGGGAGCTGGAGGACCGGGGAACGGCAGCGCCGGGCAGGCTGCGGGCAGCTGGGGCTGTGCTGGGGGTCCCCGCTTTGGGGACAGCCCCCCCAGCTCCAGCCGGGCTGCCCCATGGAGGGTTTGTCCAGGAGAAGGGGGAGAACCTGGAGGGCTTCATCTTCCCCTGGGGCATGGCCCAAACCCTCTCAGCTGGCTCAGCAGGAGAGCAGGGATGCTGATATGGGCTGTGGATATGGGATGCTGATATGGGATGCTGATTAATATGGGATGCTGATACAGGATGCTGATATGGGATGCTGATTAATATGGGATGCTGATATGGGATGCTGATACGGGATGCTGATTAATATGGGATGCTGATATGGGATGCTGATACAGGATGCCAACATATACAGGATGCCAATATGGGATGCTGATAAGGGATACCAAAATGTCTTAGGACAAGGAGGCTGGAGGGGAGCTGTCTCCATCCCCAGACCACCCCAGCACCAAGGGGAGCCCCGCAGCACGTGGCAGGTGCCTGTCAGTGCCGTGCCCCCCTCTTCTTGCCCATCGGGAGCTGATTTATGTCGGGGCCAGCCCGCGCTGACCTCCTACATTGGCTCAGGCACTATAACTAATGGCAGGTCAGCAGAGCTACAGCACAAGTGAAGTGGCTGGTGGGGGGCTGGAGAGGGGGGGACACAGGGCAGAGGCTGCCGAGGCTCTGTCTTGAAGTGTCACCGCGACCCCAGGGCAGGATCAACCCCGGTGCCCAGCCTGCCCTCCTCTCGTCCTGATTTTGGGCCAGCAGCACCGAGCTTGGAGGGGTGGCTCGTGGTTAAAAGCCCAGCCAGGGGGAGCAGCAGGTCCCCCAGGACCAGCGAGGACCTGGTGCAGGTAATACTTTGCTTTGAAGTTGCCCTGAGACCTTGCATCCCCACGAGCATCCCCTCCCCAGCGCACTGCTGCCAGCCTTCACATGCAGCAGGTCCCCAGCACACACAGCTCACATCATGCCAGTGATTTATTTATTTTTAAACCCTTTAGAGCCTGAATCCAGGCTGTATTCGGGTAACCGCAGCTTGTGGCTTGCAGCCCCCTTGCGCATCAGCCCCCAGCAGGTCCCCCCAGACCTCATCCCAGCTCGGGAGCCGAGTCCCCCGGTCTGGCCGTGCTGCAGAAGCACTTGGTGCATTCCCAGCTGGCTCTCAGCGGAGGTGATTTGTTTGAAATAATTTCCATGGCCTCTGCACTTATTTTTGCCGCTGGCATAGGGAGAGCAGGTTAAATCTGCGCTGCCAGACAGCAGCAGGGAGGGCGGGCTGCAGTCAGAGCGCACTGTCGGAGGATATTGCTCGGCTCGCACTCTGAGCAACCCTAAAATGAGGTGTGGGATGTAAAAGCTGATGAGTACAGGTAGGTGAGCCCAGCTCCAGGCTAGCAGCTTTTACTACAGGGCTAGGAAACTCTGGCTGAAAAAAAAATAATAAATAAAAACTGGGATCAGTTTTACTCCAGCAAGATTTCAGGTTGGTCAAAAGCTCCTTGGAAGGCCGGCGCTGCATGGGAGACACATGGGGAGCTGTAAATAAGCAGGAGCTTCAAAAAACCCTCCCTGAAGTGACCGATAAATCCCCTGGGACATGACGGGGATGCTCACGGATCCATCCCGAGCAACCCCAGTGCTGTGCTGGAGAAAGAATCCCCCTGGGAGGGCAGCTCGGGGCAGCGCGGAGCGGTGCCCAGGCAGGGCGCAGCTCCGGCCACCCTCCTTCTCCATCACCAAGGGTGCCCGAGGACAGCGGTGTCCCCTGTCCCATCCCAGTGTGTCCCATCCCAGTGTGCTGCCCGGAGCTCTGGGGATGCCCAAAGTAAAAGGAACGCAGGAACAGAGCAGGTTAAATAAGTCCTGCTGCAGCCAGCCACCGCGCACAGCCGCTGCCCTGTGCCCTCCCGTGTCCCCTGTGCCCCCCCCCAGCAGATATGGGGGGTCTGACACCCCCAAAACACCCCCCTCCACCCCAAAGCAAGCCGCTGCTTCCCAGATTGTCCCAATGATCCCCCCCGTACCACCCCCTCGCTGTCCCCACGCTGTCCCCAAGGACCCTTGTGGCCAAGCCTCCTCTCAGGGGGTGGCGTCTCCGTGCCACGCAGCCCCCCCACCACGTCCCAATCCACAGCAGATGGTGGAGGTGACATTTGCCTGCGAGTGACGCACTTGACAGTGACCGTGTCCCCTCCTTATTGCTTCACGGAGACACCTCGACCCCCCCCGCACAGGAGGGTGCCCCCTCCACCCCATAACCCCCCCATGGCCCACCTCCCTCCACACCCAAACCCTTCTCCTAGGGGCAACCCCAAGGGCGAGCACCCACCTCCGCGGGGCGAGGGGAGGGATTTTGGGGTCTGGGGAGGGGGGGGGGGGACGGGGGACTCCTGCTCGTTCTCCGTTTTCTGCCTTAATTAGAACCCGGAGAGACCGGGCGAAATCGCATTAGCGCGGGGCCCCGGTGCGCCGAGCCATCCATCTTTTTTTATTACAGCGTAATGGGGCTGCTCGCGAGGCGCCGTGCGATTTGTCACAGGCCTCGTTCCCTGATAACGGGCATTTGTCATCACTTTCTTCCCGTGTTAATGTCATCATCGGCGGGCTGACAGGCGGACCCGTGGAGGGAGCGCTGGCGACAGACCACATCCGTCAACCTAATATTTCCATGGCTGTGGGGATCAGCCGGGCTGCGCGCACGCATTAAAGCACTTATGAGGGGAGAGAGGAAGGAAAAAAAAAAAAAAAAAAAAAAAAAAAACAACAAAAAAACCCCCGAACCTTACCAAAAAAAACCCCGCCGTTGTCATTAATTAAAATGCGAGCGCGTGGCTGCGTGGGGAGGGGGACGCTGCGCCCTAGAACAGTGTGGCCCTATAACAGCGTGCTCCAAAAACACGTTTAAATGGGGTTTGGGGTGGTGAGCACAGTGGGAGGGTCGGTGTTAATAAGGGGACCCTATTAATGAGCTCTCTACCCCCCCTTATGGTGATCCCGGCACTGGTGTGATGAGCTGAGCGGCCTCAGCCCCATAGGATGGGGGATGAAGGTGACACCCCGGTGTCCCCCATGGGACCTGCCCCAGGCCCTGGGGCTGTTTCGGTGGCCAGGGGTGCC